TAACGATTGCGCATTCTGTTAGCTTGTTCATAAATACGCGTTTTGCGCATACTATTCCAATGTGTTCTCGTTGTAAACGGGAATCTTTATCGACTATGAAAATTCTAAGTTATAGCCTCGTTTTGCTATTCTTCATTTCTTGATGATTACGAGCTTCCAAAATTGCTAGTAAGTTCCTTTTCGCACCACAGAGATACAGTTTCTTACTGAACGTTGTGCAAGGCCTTACCATATTGTGTTTCTAATTCTACAAAGCTCACAGAAGATGTTAATGTAATTCAAGCAGTAAAAAATACGTGCCGATATCAATGTAATTCAAGCAGTAAAAAATACGCGCCGATATTAATGTAATTCAAGCAGTAAAAAATGCGTGCCGATAATCAGCGAAATCATCATAAATCATGATGGGTTCTGCGAGGTTCATGCTGTTAGACTGTGGCAATCATTTGTATACCTGTCGTATTCACCTGTCATATTCAGTTATGTTTTGTGGTGCCTACAATGACACACTTATGAAAGTTGCATGCAATTTGCGCTTTTTTGCGCTTGGATTCCTTTATAGACCACCTCTGAAGCGATTTAGTCAAAGGGATGACTGAAAAGACTGCAGCAATGCGAGGTTGCTAGAATCAATCATTTTATATAGGCTGTATCAACCAGCATCGGTCATGCGACGTCGCGCCTGCGGCATCTTGCGACGGTGCGGTGTGACGCGTGCGAACTCTGCTATGCGCTAAGGCACGTCGCATGCGACGGTGCGCCGTCGCAAGTCATGCTGGCGCGGGACCGATGCTGGCTGATACAGCCTATATATGTTGCATTTCCATTCTGAGATATCAACACTGAGGTTATTGTAGGAAGCAAACAATGACAAAGTTGGTCTTTGACCATTGAAGACGCTTGTACCGCATTCAAAAGTTTGTTTAGACCAGGGAGAGAGTTGGACGAGTTCAGTCGGTATTTTACAGTCATTACCAACACATCTATTTTTGAAACTGAAGCAAATTCGAACAACAACATTTGGCAGAAAGATACTTTTGGCTGGTTACAGTACTTGTTGGTCTGCGTAACTAGCGCCCATCATACAAGGCACTGTTTCTTCTTATAAATTGTTTTTTCTTACATGTTTTTCTTTATAGTCGATGTACATAGTTGATGAGACTATCAGAGTTGATTTTGACTTCTGACCACTGCTTCCCGCGCCTCCACTTCTACATGATAGTAGCTGATACCGCACGGAAATCAGGCCGGATTTAGACCTTGTATGGAATCATCGTAATCTCGTGAGCTTGTCATACTAGAAGATATTGTCTCGCTCGTCTGTTTGTTAAATCTACATTTGTACACAATTTGGATGCTTGTAAAAGATTGAGAAGAAAACTCTGCTCCAATCGTAATTCGCGCGCTATTGCAGCCATTAAGTTGCTGTACATCTTCCGTCTCTCTGCCTCAATGGTAGAGTTCGTGTGCGTTAACCGCACCGTCACTGATTGGTGCGCGCGCGACGTTGCTCAACCGATACCATTTGGAGTAGCACACATGACATTCTTTATGTATGCGAAACAATATGGCACCAAATCGCGATAAGGAACAAAAATAGGCTAGTGGGGGCAAGGCATGGAAGATTATGAAAAACTGATGTGAATGGAAGGAGTACTAAGCATTTTTTTTTTCAAAAATTTCCTGTAACTGGTGAATGAAGTTGCGAATCCAAATGACTAGTTTGCAAAGCGAGTGACGATATGGTATGGAACTTGATACTTACGAGAAAGACAACTGGTCCAATTTTTGTTGCAAATTTCAGATTTTTCGCGACGAAAAGGTAATTTGAAAATTGAGTAATTTTTCTCCCTGGCTTCAATTTTCGGAGCTTGCTTCCAGGAAGAGCTACTTAAAGGCAGTGTCTCACCAAAGTTGAGGTCGCGCGGATCTTCATTATTCTATTATAGGGACCTCTAACTAGGCCATTGCAACAAGTCCCACTCAATTTGACTCCCTCCAAGCCGAGAAAATTCGCTCAAACTGGTACGCGGAGAGCGATTTGGTACGCGCGGACAACTTCTTCCGTCTCCTCCTTTACGCGTTTGGACATGTCCCTCCATTTGGCAACCACCTCCCCTCTGTTGCTGCCACTGTGGCTGAGGCTGAAGTTGCAAGGTACGACTCGTCCACGTGCTCCCGCAGGGCCTCCAAAACGGGGATTTTGGGAACTTCATGCGATTTCAAGTCCAGGCAGCGCTAGACAGGGTCCGACAGGCTTGCAAAATGCAAAAATCTCGGCAGCTAAATTTTGGTGAGACACTGCCTTTAAGTACGTTGGAAAGAGCTCAATTTCCTCTTATAAAGGAACATGATTGAATAAGGAGGAAGGGAAGTCTAATTTTAAAAATGATGCGAATGTTTCGTGCCAATTTCATATAAAATTTTTTCATATTTTATACCCTAGCAAACTATGACTAGTCATGCGCAAGCCATCCGATTTCAGGTGTATGGCATCTCTCTTTCTGATAAAGGCTATGCCGCGCGAGTAATTATTAGGTTGTAACAGAATTGATGCAGGTTTTCAAATTTTGAGTTTGGACTATTATAACTTCTCACAGAAATAGTCGATCCGTTCTCAATAAAAACTACTGTATTCAGCAAATCTTTCGCAATTTTGCACACACTACTATGTCGCGGTAGCTTCACTGAGAAAAATTTATAACCCTAAGACTGCCAAAAGTTTTCTCGAAAAACCTTAAATTTGAGAGACCATAACTTACTAAACACTCTAGTAGGATAATGTAAACTTCACTCATTGTGTAGACAATATCCGGTTGTGCAGCAGCGTTAAGCTGAATTTTATGAGAAAATTTGTGACAGAAAATATTGCAAAAAATTTGTGATCAGTCATTCTTATTAAGTGCTCTGAAAAGGCGAAAAAGTCGTTTTTTGCTGTTTTCTTGATTTTCTTGCCGCCAAGGAGAGCAACAGCTTTCGTTTTTTTTGCTATCAAATGCCCTATGTCTACTGTTTCTGCGCATGACAAAAGCTCTGCAATTGCCCCATCTTTAGGATTTTTATACGCTGCGGAATGATAGCAGCGGTTGTTTGGGTTTGAAATGAAATTTCTCAGTCTAGAAACTTTTGAAAAATCTGCTCTAACGTGCATTCTGCAGTGCAAAGCACATATAAGCATTGTACCACTTTGCGAAATTTTCCAATTTCTCGCGGTGAATTTAACGCAAAAACTTCAAAAGTGGAAATTTCAGAGTTTAGCCTCCTGATTTCAAAAGTACGTAATTTCGAGATGAATCCATTCCTTTCGAAATGGAAGCATGTCCAAGAAACTAGCAGAAGAGGGCTTTCAGATGATATGCTTAGTTTTTCAATACGTTGAAATTCTATTTTGAACCAGCACTTTGAAAAAGGGGGGTGAAAAACCTGCATTAATTCTGTTACAACCTTATACAAAGCTATTTTTGGCACACCGCCCAGCTCCACTTAGAAAAATCTTCATTATTTTCTAAAACCAGAGGAAATCTTGGGTATTTTGAACTTGGAATTCTGAATGCTTTATGATCGAGGCCTCAGCACATGTTATATTTCAGCCGCATTTTATCAACACCTACTACATCGCTGAAGTTCATGAAAGAATGGGCAACAACAAGCTTGAAATATTACTTGAAAGCATTTAAAATGCCAGTCACAGCTAACGATAAGCAAATCCTTGAGAAAGTTATCATCACATTTTCATTTATACAACCACAGTCATCATCAAGTTGAACTTAAAAAGATACAATTTCGTTTACAGGCTCACGAAAAATTGCGGCGGTAAGGATCAAAGAAATTTGAGCTGCTTACAGGACAAATATAAAACACGATATTTCTAGTGTATAAAGTATGACCTACCTCTTCAGTCCTAAGAGTAACCTCATGGTTTTATACGTTTTATAGTTTTATACGGCGAAGACTAATTTTTTGATACTTTGTCATGCATCATTTTTTATAAAGACTTCTGTGAGTCAACACTTTTATATCGCAAAATGCTTTTGAGGGGGGGGGGGGAGCGGTAGGAGAGCGTGGAGGATCGCTTATCGAATCAAGAGCTGTGACATGGAAGAGCATGACGTCGTGCTCAATGTTTGCGCATTAAGTAAAATTCTCCCTTGAGTCATTTATAGGTCAATAGTTAGCTTGCACACTGCGAACTGACGACACCCCATATAGTAATAGGTCAAAATTTGTATTCCTACTTGAAGGCAGTGGATCGGCAAAATCCAACAACTCCGGATTTTAACGCGATGGGTTCCTTATCGCCCAAGTATGAAAACAGTGCAATCGCGGTTGCACAGCATGCTTTTTCTGCCGAGAGAAACGCTCTCAACCTTACACGCGCTGGCCAATCTTACACGCATCTGGACGAGTTGGCAATTTCCTTCTCACCATTGGAGGCTGCCCGCCGCAACGCTATAACCATGGGTCTTGCAACGATTTAGCGTCATCGGCCTTGCTCCACTCGTCCAATTCCAAAGGGAAGGGCATTGAAAAACTCTCATTTTCGCCCTTTTCAAGCTTTCAAAAGTGGATTTTCGGGATCAGCGTATTGAAAAACCCCAGGTAAGCAGAAATTTGACTAGGGTGAGATTTGCCGACCCACTGCCTTTAACATCACTGGAGGCCCCACTATTCCGTCGGCGGAGATGAAGAGAGAGAGGGGGAGGGGGGAGTATGCACCGAAAATTTTTTCCAGCGAACGTGGGTGACGTCAGCACGAGCTTCGAAGAATTGGAACGCTCAAAATTTCCGCAAGTGCCCTTAGCTAATATGATTTGAAATTTTAATAATTATCTGGATTAGTCACAATTTGCACAATCTTATAACTTATGTAAGCAACTTTGAAGAATTTCGCGACATCACCCCTCCCTTTCGACTCTCTTCGCCAGTAGCTTCGGATGTGAATCCGAGCGTTTATTGCAAGGGGACAGCGACTATTGCGAAGAAATCTACAAACTTTGAAAGGCGAGTTTACTCTATTCATGCATACCAAACATGACAAATCCATAAATGCTATAATCTTCGTACAACAAATAAATAAAAGATTCATGTGGAGCGTTTTCCCAGTGATTACATTCACCGGCAAGAAAAGTGGGCAGCGTAGGTTCAGTCTCAAAAATATAGTAACATGGCCCTGCATCTAGCTCCTGTAAAGCTCAGCTAATTCCGGAATCGGTCTCTTTTGTTTTCAGATTCTTCAGGTGTTCTTCGACACTTCGTAGCGTGGTACCTGCGGTATTATAAACTTCAGTGAGCATTTTCAGATCGGTCTCCCTTTGTTCGAGAACCTTCAGCACTTCCCCGACACTCTGAACCATTATGGAACAGTGCTACCTCAAAAATGAGGTCCTACAAACCTTTACAAGTGCCTCCAAATCGTCGTCCTTTTTCTTTGAAATCCTTAGTTGTTCCTCAGTACTCTAAAAAAGAAACAAAGTAAGATATTGGGGAATATGTGGTTCTACATGCCCAAATGAAGATTCAAGATCAATTGCTGATCCCTGACGAAGGAGGTCGATTTATTGTGCGAAGCGGTTGCGAAGGGGGTAATTGAACATCTTCCATCATTAAAGGCAATGGCTCCGGAAAATCGCGAGTGGGGGATTTCCACGACTACATGGCCATCTGGGCCAGTTGAGTTAGGTATTGTGCTTGAAAAGTAAAAAAAAATGTTTTTTGGCGTTTCCCGATCGTCGAGATTGCTGGAGAGAAAGGGCGAGGGATTACCGTCTACTGCATCGTAATTGTTTGGGCTTATCAGCCAGTTGCTGTCAAAATAGGTGAAGTTATAATATTCTGCAGTCATTTGCTGGTTGCAGCGAAAATCCCTCGCCCCGCCTCTCCAGCAATCTGCAATGCCGGTAAACTGAGAAAAAACATTTTTTGACATTTAAAGCACAGTACCTGACTTAGCTGGTCCAGAAGGCCATGTAGATGTGAAAAGCTCTCAGTCTCGATTTTCCCGAACCACTGCCTTTCTGATGCGCCGCGCACCCTCGCCTACATGAGCGACCGCCTTCGTCTCTGACTAGCCTTTACTCCCCTTCCTCAGTTGTTCCCGTTCTGAACATAATTCTTCTGTAAGCTTTTGATGTAAATTTTTTGCTTCATCCAGCTGCCTGAACATACGGTCTTCGCTCTTTGTCAGCGCAAACTAAGTGAAGCTAACCTATTCAGGTTGCTATTCTCAGCCTCCAAATTATCAACTTTTTCCTGGAAAAAGATTTTTGGATGTGTTCTAGTGCAAATTACAGGACGAAAATATAGAGTGAGTTTTGAATGAGCTATGGGCGAGTTATCGCACGCAGAGACAGGGTTGCTGCGGACGTTTCGCAGTCTCCTTGATCAAACACACCCTCATCTCTCAACAACTGCCGTCTCTTCCAAACTTGAACTTTCTCAGTGAGCCGCAACGGCGTATAGTCTCTGCGTGCGACGAATCCGCTAAACCTCGTCTCTAATGTTTTTTTTATCGATTTCAAATTTTTGGTATTTCCTGTTTAGCACACGAAAAAAAACTTTTTTCATCAAGAGTTACCAAAAGTTCATCAATGAGTGTTGTGTCGTCTAGATCGTTTAGATCATCGGTATCACTAAAGAACAAGCGTCGTACTATCTGCTCTTTGTTAATGGAAACTCCACAATTTGGACAAGTGGGTGTATCCGTATGCTGAAAATAGAAAATGTTTGAAAGAGGGTGAGGGACGATTAGGGACAATTTTACCTACATCAATCCAACTTTGAATGCATTCAGCATGGAAAACATGTCCACAAAGCAAGGCTGTCATATTGGTCCTAGCGATTACTTCAGCGCAGATTACGCATTTGCAACGAACAATCACCTCTTCTTCTTCCACCATCACAGAAAAAATGACATCAAACTATAAAAGAGTTTGATGGCCATACTGTAGTTCCCTGTGAGCAAAACTTCAAAAAAAAAGCAAAGCGAAAACATAAATTCAGTCGGCTAACGCCCTTCAATAATTTCGTAGCTTACAGGCCGTGTAAAAACTGACAGCTAGCGAGCGATGAAGACCGCGGTCCTGAAGCGTTTTCCGCTTGCGAAAATATCGAGCGCGGGGGCAGGAGACTTACAGGGCTCCTAAATTGCAGAATCGTTTGCACCAGCGGTCGCGCGACCGCGTCGCGCCCGGGCATTTTGCGCCATTGATGCCCGGGCGCGACACGGTCGCGCGACCGCTCGTGCAAACGACTCTGCAATTTAGGAGCCCTTTATGTCGCCGACAAACTCAACCCCCTCATTACGGGGTTACAGTGGGTATACGGTGGGAGACCGTGGTTCCACATTCGCTCATAAGTTTGCCTAAAAGGGTTTCAAAATACGCTGATAACGAATATCACGCTCGCTCGCCTAATAATGCCTTGATGTGTAGTCATGAATAACTTTTCCGGATGTAAGTGGAGATAATGCTTTCCGCCCACCAACCACAGCCACGTGCGACGCATTTCGCGGCGGTTTTTGCTTGAGCAGAGCAAGGAAAGTAAAGAAGTGCGGCATGCATGACGTGTTAAACAAGTGAATCAGTCCCTGTTATGCGAAATGAAGCGATACTCGTGACCAGCGCGTCACCTCTGCTTCGCAGAGGTTCGTGGTTCTACTATACGTAAGCCTTTTTCGTGATCGCATTACAATGACTTTAAAACTCAGGTCATGGCGAATGAATTGTAAACAACCGTTCATTCTTGAACTTACCATGTAAGATCGATAATTTCGGGAAAATTTCCCGCAGAAGAACAATGCGATTTTGAATGGTTTACAAAATTTATCTTGGGTTTATAGTCGCTATAAGGATAACAATCACCTTGGGCTATATATCTATTCAAAAATCTTTTCACTTTCGAAAGTAAAAACTTGGCGAACTAATAATTTGCGCAGTTTTACCTTTTTTGCCGCCAATTTTGCGTAAAAATAGATTTTTTGCTTACTTTTTGGGGTGAAGTCAATGTTTTTCGAATGTGCTTCTGAACAATTCCACTACTTTGCGAATAGTCTAATTACCGATCCGTTTTGGCGGAGCAAAAGTCGCATGGATCCGTTTGACAGCACAGTTTCCGATGGTTGCATTTATGGGTCGGTTTAATGATTTTGTACAGTTTACTACGCGCTGATAGTGTGCTATGACAAAAATTGCACCTCAAAACGTTGGCTGCACTTCGCTGCATGAATTTCGTAGCAGATAGACATACATACAGACAAACAGATAGATAGATTAGCGTTTTATTATAATCATAACTAGCTGGCTTACCCGGCTCCGCCTGGCCCTGTCAAAAACGATAAAGGTTCCATTTCTATCCCTGTACACCTTTACCTGTGCCCACTTCTACATTCCCTATTCCCGCTGCGTGAGTAATCAGTATGCTCACCTACCTACCTTCCTCACCAACCCCCCAGCCTCGTAGCTCAAACTTTGCACAAAAAAAAATAATAAAATCGATAAACGTAAGGATAATTCTAAAAAGTGATGGCGTTATTCGGCTATCCGGGCCCCAAAATGTTTTTGTAATGGATCTTGCTCAAACTCGGTATATGGGGGTTATTTGAGCCGCTAATGACAGTATCATAGTCATCGCGTGGCAGCGGGTAAAAATCATAAACCTGCCTGAAACCTTGGCAGGGAATTACCTAAAGTGCTGTTCAAAGAATATCGTGCTCAGTCCCCGCGATAAAGGCAATTCGTGTGGTATAAAAGTTTCCCACGTAATGCTTTCCTTATAGGACCACTGCCGCGTGCGATACACCCTTCGGCGGCTTTTGCCTAAGCAAATCAGGGGGAGGGAGATTTACCGCGTGCGTTACGCATTGGGACGTTATCAGGATGGCGCTAGAGACCGCCATGCAAAACGACCGTTTCCCCATTTCATGAATATTTGGGATCTAAATTGGCCCTGTCCATTCAAATCCTGCAACTCACACAACTTTACTAATGCGTTATGACAGCGAGCAAGTTTCATATTCATAAGCAGTATACTTGTGAACCGTTACAGGTAAGGTTTCGAGCAAATCTGGAACTTCGACCCATCTACACCCACCGTAACCCAAGAAAATGCAGCATCTTGCGAAATCAACATGATATTTATGTTCAGCGCGCTAAGTGACCACCCTAGAGGAAGTTTGAAGCAAATCCATGTTTTCGACCCCACACCGTATATAACCACCCTAACTCTATGAAGAGGTCCCCATATGCAGAGAGAGTATGAAATTCGTAATCAGCATGTCGAATAAGTTCTCTGGACCGAACTCCAGCAGAATTCATGATTTTGACTTCCTACCGTACAACTATCGTAACCACATGGGGAGACTTTCTGCGACGAAAGTGTGATATCTGTAATCAGCATGTAAGATAACCCTTATACACGAATCTGAGCAAGCTCTACGACAAAAATTTTGGGGCCCGGTTAGCCGAATAGCGTCAAACTAATATCGAACTCGTAATCAGCATGCTTGATTACCCCCTGCGCAAACTCCCAGCCCCGTAGCTCAAACTTTGCAAAAAATCGATAAAATCGATAAAAAAATAATGGACGATTTCAAAAACTAATATTGTATTCGGAATCCCCATGTTCGATTACCTCCCTGTGCAAACTCCCAGCCCCGTAGTTCAAACTTTGCAAAAAAATCGATAAATTCGATAAAAGTAATCGATAATCTTGAAAACTAATATTGTATTCGGAATCCCCATGCTCGATTACCCCTCTGTGCAAGCTCCCAGCCCCGTAGCTCAAACTTTGCAAAATATCGATAAAATCGATAAAAGTAATCGATAACCCCGAAAACTAATATTGTATTCTGAATGCCCATGCTCGATCACCCCTCTGTGCAAGCTCCCAGCCCCGTAGTTCAAACTTTGCAAAAAAATCGAAAAATCGATAAAATCGATATCAATCGATGACGAAAAGTAGCCTATGACACCCGCCGGGGCCCGTAGTGTATGTGTGCCAAGTTTGGTCCGGATCGGTTCAGAAATGGAATTTTCTATTCGGAACATAAGTACAGACAGACAGACATACAGACATACAGACAGACAGACAGACAGACAGACAAACAGACATTCAGCTTTATATATAAGACTAGCGACCCTACGGGTCGCTAGTAAGTGGGTGGGGGCAGATACATTGATATCTGCCATTAATTAACTAGAAATCTCACGAAGGAGAATTTCCATCTTCCCAGCGACCATTCGTGTGTTGTGAGTAGTAGAAACCAAACACTATGATCTTAGGAAAAGAAATTACTACCAGTGACTATCCGCAAAGCATCTCTGCTGTTCCTCTTGCAAATACTTTCGCCCAGATACCAAGGCTCTTAAACAAGGAAGCTACCTCCAAGCACCTGTTTAGAACAGCTTCATCCCAAAACAGATTGACTTCCAGGAAAGTGCCATGTTAATGGAAGCGTCAAGTTATGTCTTCCAGCAGCTGAAAACTCAGATATGTAGATGAAAACGAAGCAGTATTTTTTTCGATGACGTCTTGCCAGTGAACGGACTCATTTCTTAGAACAGACTAAAGTTTGCCCGACGCCTTCTTTTGAAGGACAATCTTACCGAAACTGTCCTGTCGCATAAAACCCTAGGTCTTTCCATCCCTCGAAACCAAGCTCCTTATGCTTCCGCTTTTAGGGGCAAAAGTATGGTTGAAAAGAAGGGGTCGTAATTTTTCCAGCAAGTTTCTTTTTAATTAAATATTGACACCTAAAATTTTTTAGCGCAAATATCTTGCTGCCTGAGCCCTAAGTCTTTTCTTCCCTCGAGACCAAGCTTCCTGTTTTTTTTTGCTTCTAGGGGCAAAAGTGTGGTTTTAGCGAAGTTCAAAAGGCCAAAATTTTCAGAGACGATAATTTCCTGTCGCAAGAAGCTCATGGGTCTGTCTTTCCCTCGAGATCACTTTTCTGCCTTCAGAGGCAGAAGTTCGGTTTTTGCAGAGTAGAATGGCCGCAAGTAAAGTTCAAACAAGTTTCTTAGAATAAACATTGACATCCAGAAATTTTCAGCGAAAGTATCTTGCTGGCTGAGCTTATGAGTTTCTTCCCCTCGAGACCAAGCTATCTGTGCTTCTCTGCTTTTAGGGCCAAAAGTGTGGTTTTTGATTTTTGTGGTTTTGCCAAGTTTGGGAGTCAAAGGTCTTAGCGAGAATGTCCTGTCGGATGAAACTCATGGGCTGTCCTTCCCTAGAGACTAAATTCCCTGTGCTTTTCTGCTTTTAGGGGCAGAAGTACTGGTTTTTGCGAAGTAGAAGGGGTCGAAAGTTTCTATGAAAATGTCCTGTGGCAAGAAGCTCATGGGTCTGTCCTTCCCTAGAGACTAAATTCCCTGTGCTTTTCTGCTTTTAGGGGCAGAAGTACTGGTTTTTGCGAAGTCTAGGGGTCAAACATCTTAGCGAAATTTTCTTGTTGCAAGAAGCTCTGGGTCTGTCTTTCCCTCAAGACCACTTTCCTGCCTCCAGAGGCAGAAATCTGGTTTTTGCAGAGTAGAATGGCCACAAGTGAATTTCAAATAAGCTGTATGAATAAACATTGACACCCAGAAATTTTCAGCGAAAGTATCTTGCTGGCTGAGCTTATGAGTCTTTTCCCTCCGAGACCAAAAGGGTCAGAAGTAAAATGCAAGTAAGTTCTGTATAATCACTGACACCCAGAAACTTCTGGCGAAAATATCTTGCTGCCTGAGGCCATAAATCTTTCTTCCCTCGAGACCAAGCTCCTTGTGCTTTTTTGCTTTTAGGGCCAGAAGCGTGGTTTTTGAGTTTTGTGGTTTTTGCGCTTTTAGGGCCAGAAGTGTGGTTTTTGAGTTTTGTGGGTTATGCGAAGTTTGGGAGTCAACCGTCTTAGCGAAAGTGTCCTGTCGGATGAAACCGATGGGCT